CCTTTCTGGTTAACAGCGCAGCTTAAGTTCAGAAGGAATCCGTATCCATAGCTGAATCTTAGCTGCAATAGTCTCACCAGTAAAAGTGCGATTTGGGGGGGTGGGGAGGGGCGCACAATAGTAAGATATGTACACATATAATATCTTAATTTAAAAAATGGGGGGGGGGACCGTTAATGCAAAAAAAAAAAAAAAAAAGAGAATGAGTGCTATCAATGAGTGCTATACGGATGTTGTATTATAAAGTTGTACACCTGAAATTTATATAATGCTATGTACCTAGTAAGCAATATTATCCCAATGTATTTAATAAAATAAATTAAAAACATTTTTTTTTAAATTAAAAAAAGTGAGACTTGATTTGTGTCTCCTCTTTTATCCCGTGATGTCAGTTCTTCTGATGACAGCAAAAGGTATCAGCGGAGGGATTTTCAGAGTGAAAACAGTGACACCTTCCTAGACACCATAGAAGGGGCGTGCTGAAGCCCTTGTCATGTCAATGTCACCATGAGTCACAGAGAGCCGAAACCGGTTTGGCTCAGTGGATAGAGTGTCGGCCTGTGGACTGAATAGTCCCAGGTTCGATTCCGGTCATGGGCGTGAACCTTGATTGTGGGCACATCCCCAGTAGGGGGGTGTGCAGGAGGCAGCTGATTGATGTTTCTCTCTCATCGATGTTTCTAGCTCTCTATCCTTTTCCTCTCTGTAATAAATCAATAAAATATATTTAGGGAAAAAACACACAAAACAAAACATGAGTCACAGAGAAGTTTAACAGTTTCCTCGGGTCACACAGCTTGTTAGAGTCCAGAATAGAGATTAAAATCCAGGGCAGGGGAAAGGAGGGGGGCTCTGATTCCTGGGTCTACACTTCAGGTGGTCCTTAATTTACATGGCTGGCCTTGGCCTCTAACAGCCACGAAATTTAGCCAATAAGAAAGAGAGTCTGATGGCAGTGATGAGCAAGAATCTTCCAGAATTGACTGCTCAGGACTTCCTGACCCTGTGAAGGAGAGAACAGTGGCACTGTGGTTTTCCACGCACACAGAGGTGTGACTGATTGTGTCATCTTTGTGTAACCCTTCAGGTTGAAAGTTCAAGTACAGAACCACTGAAATACATTTGGTAATTCTCTCTGCTTTTTGCCACTTCTCTGTGAGCTGGAGAGCCACACTAAGGTGCAATGCCCTCAATGTTTGAGACATTATTGAATTTGCTTGACTATTCAACCATTCCTCTCATGCTTCAACATACTATGAAGTAAACTGTCATTCATGGATGACTTGCCTTTGCTTACGGGTTCTCTAATGTGATTACAAGTTTTCTGGGGAGGAAGCCATCTTTTTATAGAGTACAGTTGATCATATTTTGGTACCTGGCAAACATTTCAATATCACCCAGATGGTAGCACATCCTTGCCAGGCTTTCTGCCCCTTTCTAGTGAGGTTTCCTTCTGGCTGGTTCCAGCTCCCACAGAGACTCTTGGGCCAGCTTGAAGCAAGCCTTCTTTGCAGGGACCTGCCCCTAGCATTTGTAAGGACCTGCTCCTAAAAGTGTATAGGGCCCAGAGCAGTGCAGGTTAAGAGGGGGGCTCACATAACAATTGTCTGACTATTTCACTATTAAATAAAATGTGTACTGTCTTCCTATCTTGGTAAACATACCTTCCTAACAACCTAGAAGGCCAAGTTGAAATTCCCATTTTCCCCAGCCCCTACCCCTTCTTTTCTTCCTGAGCCCTCTTCCTGCACCATCTCACAACGCAATCATAGACATCCTGGCATGTCTGGGCTCTGGACATTCACCCTCAAATCACCACCCCTTGGGGCAAACATAGTCTCAGGGATATGAACGCCAGCAACACAGGCTGTAATCTGGAGGATGGACCCAGGTGCAAGGCTCCCTTGGACTGCAGCTTTCTGGGAGGAGCCTGGTCTAGAGAGAGGGAGGGTGTGGTCGTCCTCAGACCACCAGCAGCAGCATCACCATCATCCAAGAGCTTATTGGAATTGCACAATCTCTGGTCTCCCTCTTTACAAGTGCCCTGGTGATCCCAGTCACACTGTGGTGGGAGTACCACTGCTTTAGGCTAGGGCTTGGAGTCAAGTTGAAGGGAAACATTACTTTTCACTGTATTTTTTTTTTCTCTGCTCAGTAATGATGCAGACATGCAAACAGTTATACTCTCTCTCTCTCTCTTTTTTAAAAATTTATCCTTATTGTTGAAAGTATTACAGATGTCCCCTTTTTTCCCCCCATTGATCCCCTCCACCCTGCCCCCGCCCCCCCCAAGCCTTCACCACACTGTAGTCCCTGTCCATAGGTTATGCATAACCTATATAATAAAAGCCTAACATGATAAGTGTCCAGTCATCCAGTTGCCCGTTCAACCACTCAAAGCCTAATATGCTAATAATATGTGAAGGCCCCTCAATCGCTCGCTGTGACATGCACTGACCACCAGGGGTAGATGCTCCAACTGGTAGGTTAGGATGCTGCTGGGGTCCAGTTGATCAGGACTGAGCAAGATGAGCTGGACATGCCCTGGTGCCCTCCTGAAGTCCCTATCCGGCTAGCACCAATTATGCACGGTGGGGTCCCTCAGCCTAGCCTGTGCCCTCTCACAATCCAGGATCCCTTAGGGATGTCAGAGAGCTGGTTTTGGCCCGATCTCGCAGGCCAGGGCAAGGGACCCCACTGGTGCATGAATTCATGCATCAGGCCTCTAGTATGCATATAAGTTCATTGCTTAATCTCTTTCCAGTCCCCTTACCCCCCTCCCCCACTCCCTTTCCTCAGAGACTTGTCAGTATGTTCCATGCTTCCATGTCTCTGGATTTATTTTGTCAGCCTATTTTGTTCATTAGATTCCACATGTAAGTGAGATCATGTGATACTTGTCTTTCTCTGACTGGCTTATTTCACTTAGCATAATACTCTATAGGTTCCTCCATGCTGTCTTAAAGGGTAAAATATCTCTCTCTCTCTCTCTCTCTCTCTCTCTCTCTCTCTCTCTCTATCCTTTTTTTTTTTTTTTAATAGTATTTCATTGTGTAATTGTAGTATGGCTTTTTTATCCACTCATCTACTGATAGGCAGTTGGACTGTTTACAGATTTTTAAAAAAAGTATATTTTATATACTTAAAAAAAGAGGGAGAGAGAGCCAGAAACATCAAGGAGAAAGAAAACATCGATCAGCTGCTTTCTGCACACTCCCTACTGGGTATGTGCCTGCAACCAAGGTACATGCCCTTGACCAGAATCAAATCTGGGACCCTTGAGTTTGCAGGCTGACACTCTATCCATTGAGCCAAACCAGTTAGAGCTGTTTCCAGATATTGTAAATAGCTCTGCAATGATCATAGGGGTGTATATAACCCCACAAGAAAAAAACAACAACAGTCATTTGTTGAATCAGACATTTTCTAAATATTTGGAGAAAGGAGTAAGGAGGAGTCTGCACATAACAACATTGAAACAGATTCTTTTGTTCTTCAAAATCCCCTCAGTTACCTCTAGGTCTCTCTCCTTCGCCCTCCTACCACCACCACCCCCATACCCCTGGACCTCAACAACTTGAAAAATTATCCCTTTTGCTTTACAAGGCAGAGCTTTCTCTACTGCCCCAGACTCAACTCCAGCCCTCCCCGACTCCCCTCCCCTCCCTCCCTGCCCCATTCCTTTAGCGAAGAGGTCATTGATGTCTGCTTGACCCCATGGCCAGGCTTTCTCTATCCATCACTGTCTGCAAGGGGGAGGGGAATGCATGATTCATACTAGAATTCATTGATAGAAATTATGCTTCCACTTGGGCAAAAATAGCAAATGTCTACTGTGAAACTCTATGAGATAGATGTCATAAAAGCTATTTTTGATCACTGCCTACTGATTTACACAACTTAGTAAAAATTACAGGAGAAAGAAGTGAACCAGCTTTAATGAACTATAAATAAGTTTTTATTTTTAAAAAAATATATTTTATTGATTTTTTACACAGAAGGGAGAGGGATAGAGAATTAGAAACATTGGTGAGAGAGAAACATCCATCAGCTGCCTCCTGCACACTCCTACTGGGCATGTGCCTGCAACCAAGGTACATGATCGGAATCAAACTTGGGACCCTTCAGTCCAAAGGCCAACACTCTATCCACTGAACCAAACCGGTTAGGGCTGAACTGTATAATTTTATACATTTTTCCCCCAAAGCATGGCTTCCAGTAGTCTCTGCAACATTCTGTCTGCTCAGATCGCTGTGTATACAGCAACTGTGTTCCCTCGTTTTTAGTGCCGTGACCCATCAGAGCAATGAACATCCCTTGGCTGCTGTATGCCAGGCGATGACCCAGCACTTTCCTTTGTGTAAACTAGGGTGAAATGTCCTTGGGGCCCTGCGTCTTGACATCAGTTGGCTTTACCTGATGTGTATGTAACAGGTTAAGTCTCCCTGTGAAATCTCCCATCATTGACCTCCCAGTGAAGCTACTTCCTAGTATTATTAAGAGATTTTCACAATGTCAAACCAAAGTCTATTTAGCAGTGTTGCCAAAGGTGAGTTGGAAGGTTTTGGTGTCACCATAATCTCTTCTTGCCCTAGCCACCCTAAATTAACATACAAATTATGTTAAAAAGATACTTGCCTTGCCTGACTGGCGTGGCTCAGTGGTTGAGCTTCAACTTATGCACCAGGAGGTCACGGGTTGATTCCAGGTCAGGACACATGCCCAGGTTGAGGAACCGATCCCCAGTGGAGGGCGTGGGGGAGGCAGCTGAAGTATGTTTTACAATTGACAACAACAACATCAACAACAACAAAACTTAAGGTGTAAATGTGGGAAATTGCTATCATTTGACATGAGATCATGCCAACCCAGGGGTAGTCACACACATTGAGAACACATTCATATAAAACCCATTGGAAGTTACCAAGATGATAATCAGGAACACAAATGCCTGCACTGAGCTGTCATTGCATTACCTGGCCATCCCAAATAAGCTTCTATTAATTTTTACATGTGGTCTTGAAAACAAAAATACAAAATGTGAAGGTTCTTGAAGAGAATGTGTTGGCCTCTGAAAATAGGTTCCTCATGATCTGTTTGAGACACAGTGGAATTACAAGGCATAGATTTATACTCACGTGTTTTCTAAATGCTCTTCTTTTTACTGTGGGGCCCTGGGGAAAAGGGCCTATGCCCTCCGAGGCAGTTTCTGAATTTTGAAGTTGGGAACGCTGTCTCATGGGGTTGTTGTGAGAGTGACATATGACATTGGATCTGCCATGCCTGATACACCTGATAGAGCAAAGTGTAGGTGGAGCAGAGTACATGGGACTATAATCAGGGGAATATCAGTCAGAACAGGCATTGCATTTCTACTCATGTCACCTTGAGCAAGTGACTAGTTGAATTTTGATTTCCCCCCCCTCATCTATGATATAGAAATGGTATCAATATCCTTCCCAATTGGACTGTCTGTACCCTCCGTACTATGTATGGCAGACCTCTCACTCTTTAGTTTTTTCCATCTCCCACTTCTCTCTCTATTTGCCTCCCCTCCCCCTCTTGCCCCATAAAATACACATTCTAGGTGTTGCCTAAATTCCTTACAAACCCTCAATACTTTGTGTTGATAGCATTTTTTCCTCTTCTTTTAAAAACAAATCTTTTGAGACCACTAGAACATTGACTCCTTAACAACTTTCTTGTGAATTCAGCTGCTCCATCTAGTACCTTAAACTAACGGATATTGAATCCACTGGATGCTCAAAAGAAGACATAGACAGTTTAGCCCGTCTTTCTGTTCCTAAACATATTTCACAACTTGCCACAGTCTCTCACATCTTTAAAATTATTACTAATCCCCCATTACTCCTAGTACGAAGGTGTTGCTAAGACCTTTTAATAACCTTTCTTTCATAAGGCTTTCCTGATACACATAAGAGATTAATGCCATCATTGCACCGTTAGCATTTAAATCCACCCATCCATCAGAGTTATATGTGAAATACTTCTCATGGGTTCAGCTTTCTGTTGGACTTTGGTTTCAAAAGGAGAGAAGGTTTCGTGAAAAACAACTTTATGTCACAACTGGGCTCCCACAGTTGGCAAATACACCAGACAAATAGCATATTGCATTTGCCAATCGATGGTCATTGATTTCTGTGTGTGTCAGCAGACATTTACAGGTTTGAGGACTTGAAAATATGAAGCTAGGCTTGTTACTTTTATGGGTAGGAAAATAGAGGATCACCAGAGAGGGTAAACCTGAGAGTCTATAGCTTGTTGTAGTCATGGCTTACTAACTATTATAGCTTCAAACCCCAGAAACACAGGTATAACCTCTCAGGACCCTAAGTATTTATCTCCCCCCCACAAGATTTATTAAGGTATTCTTGACAAATAAAATCTGTATATATTTAAGGTGTACAATGTTGCAATGAACACGGAGTTGTGGATTTCTCTTGGAGATCTGATTTCATTTCCTTTGGGAATATACCTAGAAGTGGGGTTGCAAGATCATATATGGTAGCGCTATTTTTAATATTTTGAGGATCCTACTCATTTCCATAATGGCTGCACCAATCTACCTTCCTACCAACAGTGCATAAGGGTTTGTTCCCTTTTCTCCACACCCTCACAAACACTTATTATCTCTTGTCTTTTGTATAATAGCCATCCTAAAAGGGGTACAGTGATATCTCATTGGGTTTTGACTTCCATTTCTCTGATGATTAGACACATGCAGAACCTCTTCATATATCCATTGGGTATTTGTAACTCTAGTTTAGAAAAATGCTTATTCAGGTCCTTTGCCCATGTTAAAAATCAGGTTATTTGTCCTTTTTTTTGTTTTGTTACTGGGTGGTAGGAGTTCCTTATATATTTTGGATATTAACCCCTTATTTCTATTTATTTTTTTAATCTTTATTGTTGAAAGTATTACATAAATCCCCCCTTTTCCCAACTGACTTCTTCCAGCCTGCTCCTGTATGCCCTCTCCTCCTCAGGCCCTCACCATCCCATTGTCTGTGTTCCTGGGTTATGCATATATGCATACAAGTTCATTGGTTGATCTCCCACCCACCACCCTCCCCTACCTTCCCTCTGAGGTTTGACAGTCTGTTGATGCTTCTCTGTCTCTGCTAACCCCTTATTTTTAAACTGATGACTTGAGGGGGTTGGATGGTTCTTGAAGCCCAGTCCATTGCCCCTTGGGAACAGATTCCTGCCAGGGTGATGCAATCTGGGCAGCCTCAGTGATAAGTTCCTAGGGCAGGGATCTTGACTGCTTATTAACTGTTAAGCCCCCAGTGGCTGCACCTGCAGATGCTCAATAAAAACCTCTTGAATGCTGAACAACTGAGGACTGGCCAGACAGCAGACGTTCATTTCCAACTTAGAGTTAGCTCTCCGGGTAGCTCTTAAGTTGTGAATCTAAACATTCTTAGCCAGCACACATTTGGAGAAACCACAAAGGGAATGGAAATCTGCAGTGACAGCTTCCATTGATGCCAGGTTGAGAATTCCAAGACTCCAATCCACCATCTATAGGTTGGATTATTATTTTTTAAAATATATTTTATTGATTTTTTACAGAGAGGAAGGGAGAGGGAGAGAGAGTTAGAAACATCGGTGAGAGAGAAACATCAATCAGCTGCCTCCTGCACACCCCCTACTGAGGATGTGCCCGCAACCAAGGTACATGCTCTTGACTGGAATCAAACCTAGAACACTTGAGTCTGCAGACCGACGCTCTATCTACTGAGCCAAACTGGTTAGGGCTATAGAATCGATTATTTCTGATATACCCAAAGAGCATGACTTACACCCTAATCCCCATATGTTAAACAAAGACCTTTTCTCATTGGAACAGATGCCTATTGTATTGACGTCACCCATCCTGATAATATCTGACTTCTCTAGTGGGTCCCTGACTCTCTCGTCCCCTTTCCTCCTGGCCTCAACTGCCACCACCAGTCCTAGATGCCAGTGGCAGTTTTCTGTGGGTCCAGATTTACAATCAAACCCAAGGAAAACTTAAAAGGCAGAGATTAGGTTACTGGTGCACACTGTTCTCAAATTGAGAAAGTACAACCTCGGCTCCTCTCCCAGAGATCCAGTTGAACTGGATGTTCCATAACCAGGCTGCCCATGGGCTGGACCCATCCCAGGAAGGGCGGGGAGTGTTACAAAAGCCATCCTGGCCCTTAGCACAACCCAGCCAGTAAGCAGGAGAAGGGCCTGTTTTTCCTAAACTTAACTATGAGAACTTTTCCCCTCAGTATTTGCTAATACTGTTTTGTTCACAATTACTTTTCTCTTTTAGAACGGAAAACATTCCTGTCAAGTATCTTTGAGGTTGGCCACACATTTGACTTTTTTAAGTTCCCAGCTAATGGAATGTTGGGAGCCACTGTAATTTTCTCAGAAAGCGTTAGCATGCCTCATCAGAACCACATTCTATCTTAAGTGATTTTGGACAATGTTGAGATTGAAAGTTTCAAAATACATTTAGTTTCTCAATAAAAGAGTCATGATTAGATGTGTCATAGTTTTTTTCCTTTTTAAAAACATTTTTTTAACTGATTGCAGAGAGGAAGGGAGAGGGGGAGAGACAGGGGGAGAAGGGGGAAGAGAGAGAGAAACATCATCAATGGTGAGAGAGAATCATTGATCAGCTTCCTCCTGCACGCCCCTTACTGAGGATTGAGCCCACAACTCAGGCATATACCCTTGACTGAAATCAAACCTGGGACCCTTCATCCATAGGCCAATGCTCTATGCATTGAGCAAAGCCAGCAAGGGCTCTTTTTGTTTCTCTGATACCTGTCTGTAGAAGTGAAGTTCAACACCATGCCACTTGACTTCCATTAACATTCAGGTTGACATATCATTAGCTAACTTCCAAAGTGACTCAAAGATAACCATTATTTTCTTTAATAAACATTAAGTTACAAATGAAAGAATTTAAGAATTTTAGTATTAGTAATATTCTTCATTCTCTTGTTTGGACCCTTCATTTAGTAGGTGTGGAAACCATGTTTTCAGAAGTTAAATAAGCCCAGCTGGTGTGGCTCAGAGGTTGAGCATCGATCTATGAACCAGGAGGTCAAAATTTGATTCCAGGTCAGAGTACATGCCTGGGTTAGGGGTTTGACTCCCAGTATAGAGAGTGTGTAGGAGGTGGGTGATCAATGATGTTTCCATCTCTCTCTCCTTCTCTCTTCCTCTCTGAAATTAACTTATCATTGGGAATGCCATTGAAAATTTATTATATTTTGTAAAATTTGGGAGAATCAATAACAACTTTCTTTTATACAGGATTTGTAAGATTTCAGGGCAATTCAAGTTTTCTTATGCCATAGCTGCTTCTAAATACTTTTGAATTGACGCTACGCTGTGATTCTGTGCTTTTAGTTTTTTGCTATTTTTAGTATCAGTTTTCACAGTTTATAACACCTCCGTTCCTGGTGAGGAGGCCCTGCTCCAGTCCCTAATTCACAGCATGAGATTGGATCTGAATCTCCACTATGCTTTTGGTTCCTGCTGGCAAGCTCTGCCTCCATCCCCTCCCTTCCCCCAAAAGATACCCATCCAAAGTTTTATCAAGTTGTTTGATCTAACTTTGACAGAAGGACCCCTAGGTAGTGTTTAGTTCTCTATTGGATCTGGATAATAGCTCCCTATGATTGGATGAATTGCTGCTAAATGATGTTTGATATCCTAATAACATAGAATGGTGAAAAAGGAAAGAATCTATATATGTAAAAGCCTAATATGCAAAATGTCCCTTTGGGAGTTTGACCGACCCGGAATTTGATCACTCATGATGATGTGCACTGACCACCAGGGTGCAGCGTAAAATGAAAGAAGGCCCCTGCCAGCAGCCGGCAGTCACTAGGGACCCTACCCATGCATAAATTTCATGCACTGGGCCTCTAATAACTACAATAACAACAACTTAAACTCATTTAGAATAAGGCAACAAAGGAAGCATTACACAGAGGCCATGGTTCCATAGCACATGTTTCTCAATGGGCAGGAATAACAAGTTTCCCTTTTCTTGCCAGAAGTATAAGCTCCTGGGTCAACCACTCTGGCTACCAATAGAGTATTTGCCCCTTGTCCATTGGCAGATGTGGCCATATCTAAAAAGGCATTGATGAGGAAGCTCTGGTGGGGGCTGTATCAATTTCAAGCCCGCTTGATATCTTATGGGTTTAGGAGTCTGAGGTTGGCCTTAATGCCCAAGTAATCACAAACTGTTATTGTTGGCCAGGCATGAGTTTCTCTGGAAATACACCCATCTTAAAAAAAAAAAAATGTT